TTTTTTTTTTTTTTTTTTTTTTTTTTTTTTTTTTTCCGGAAAGGGAGGAGGAGCAATGTCGTTTTCAGGGGGAAAGGCGGGACCCTCCCCCCCCTCGAAAAGCTTAGCCAGTTTTTCTTGCAGCCGCATGGCGATCGCGATCCCGACTTGTCCTCCGATCCATCGTCATCATCATCCATCGTCCGATCAAGCCCGGCTACCAGCAGCAGAGCTTGACAGGGACGCGTTTCTTTTTTTTTCTTTTTTTCTTTTTTTCTTTTTTTTCGAAAAGGGAGGAGCAATTTCTCTTCAGGGGGTTATGCGGGACCACCCTCTCTCGAAGCTTGGCCAGTTTCTTGCAGCCGCCGCGTGGCGATCCCGATCCCGACTTGTCCTCCTCTCCAAGCCCGGCAGCTGTCATCATCCAGCAGCAGAGCTTGGCAGGGAGGCGTTTCTTTTTTTTTTCTTTTTTTTTTTCTTTCGAAAAGGGAGGAGCAATTTCGTGTTCAGGGGGAAATGCGGGACCAGCCTCTCTCGAAGCTTGGCCAGTTCCTTGCAGCCGCGTGGGGATACCGATCCCAACTTGTCCTCCTCTCCATCATCGTCATCATCGTCATCATCATCATCATCATCATCATCTGATCAAGCCCGGGTGCCGTCATCAGCCAGCCAGCAGCGGAGTTTTTTTTTTTTTTTGTAAAAAAGAGCAATTTCTTCTTCAGGAAGAAATGCGGGACCACCCTCTCTCGAAGCTTAGCCAGTTTCTTCCAGCCGCGTGGCGATCCCGATCCCGATCCCAACTTGTCCCCCTCTCCATCATCATCATCATCTGACCAAGCCCGGGTGCTGTCATCAGCCAGCCAGCTGAGTCTCTACTGCTTCTGGGGGTACCAGGACTGTAAAGGAAGCCAGGAGGAGCAGGTTTTTTTTTGTTTTTTTGGCAGTCCTTTAAGAGTAGACAGACGATTGGATCGGTTGGGCTCATTAGCCTTTTTTTTTTTTTTAATTTTTTGCTTTTTAAAAGGAAAGGGTAGGTAGTCTTTTTTCTGCTGCTGCTGCTGCTGGAAGGACTCGTCCCAGCCGGAGTCTGTCTGATTAAGAGAGGACAAGAGAGGCTTTGATGGATCTCAGGGTGTAACTCGCAGAAGGACTTTTTCGGACCTCCTGTGGACGTAATTGCGGTCAAATACATCCAGCACGGGATGGAATTGCAGTCAGATACATCCAGGACAGCTCCAGTGTGAGAATGCCCACGAGCAGAGCAGGGAGAGGAGAGGAGAGGAGAGAGGGGAGAGGAGAGAAGAGAGGACACAGGTGGCGGTTGGGGACCAGAAAGGCTTTTTTTTATGAATCTCTGTATCTGACCGCAGGTATGTCCAGAGCGGAGAGAGGAGAGAAGAGAGGAGAGGTAATGCTCTCGAGGGCCACACATAACATTAAAAAAAAAAAAAAAAAAAAAAAAAAAAAAACATAAGTCAGGAAGAGCCTACTGACACCAGGACTTTTCTGGTCCACCTCTGTACATAATTGCGGTCAGATACATTCAAAGTCGGCTGCAATTGCCGTCGAGATACATCTAGGACAGTCCGAGAGTGAGTGTGTGCCCTCAGTCGACCTGATCAAAGGAGATGTTATCAGATATCGGATGATACTAGGATAGAATATATTACCCCTCTTGTTTTTCGTTTTTTTTTTTTTTTTTTTTTGGACCAAGCACAATGCACCGTCATCGTGGATAAATGGATGCAAGCTATCTTTCCGGTCCCATACACACAATGCACCGTCATCATGAATGGATGGATACAAGCTATCTTTCCGCCCACATGCAGACATGATGAGGGCGTTATTTCCCCCCGCCGGAGGGGAGGGGGGGGGGGAGGGCGGGGTAAGCTGGCGGAAGTAGGAATTGAAGTGTAGGTCATGGTGACTGTGTATAGCTTGTACCGTCCTCACCCGAATAGAACGCCCCGTCATTACAGCTGCATGTGGGGCGATTTTCAGTCCAGATGCAGCCTTAATGCCGGGCGTTACCCGGATAGAACGCGCTGTCGTGAGAGCTGTATTTGGGGCGATTTTCAGTCCAGATGCACTCTTGATGACCGGCCGTTCTATTCGGGTGAAGAAGGTAGTCAGAGTTAATCCGTTCCTAGAAAAAGATAAAATTGTTGGAAATACCTTTCTCCAGCTTTTAAGTCCAGATTCATTCAAAAAAGTCCTTGTGTGGGTATAATGCTTTTTTTTTTTTGTATGAAACAAAATTGTTGGAAATACCTTTGTCGGGCTTTTCAGTCCAGATTCATTCAAGAAAGTCCTCGTGTGAGTGTAATACTTTTTTTTCTGTATAATATAAATTGTTGGAAATGCCTTTCTCCGCCTTTTCAGCCCAGATTCATTCAAGAAAGTCCTTGGGTGAGTGTATGACTTCTTTTTCTTCAAGGTATAATAATGCTTTTAGAGCACGCACACTCTACATAGGGCCTCGTTCCACTGCTCAACATTCTACATGCATTTGGACGTATTTCTGGACTATGTGCACTTGGAGGAGTCCGACATTTTGATTGTATTGCGACGATGATTAGGTCCAGATACATACGGAGTGTTGTGTAGAGTGGAGCGAGGGCTATATCCTTCCTTACCTCTCTGTGGAGAGAGAGTGGAAAGATCATTGGTTGGGACAGTGGGAGTGCCAACTTTTTTTCTCCTTCTCTTTTCCCTTTCAGTGGAACTAATTTGGAGGAAGAAGTATATATATTCTCTCTCTCTCTCTCTCTCTCTCTCTCTCTCTCTCTCTCTCTCTCTCTCTCTCTCTCTTKTTCTTCTTTCCCTCTCTCTCCTCAAGTTCATTCATTTCTTTTTGCAATTGGACGGCATTGTACTTTCTGAGGAATCTGCACCGCGAAATTGGCCAGGATCGTAAATTGTAATTTGATTGGATCTGACCCAACCTGATCTGGTTCGATACAATCCAACTTGATTTCAAGTTCGATTAAATTTCGATTTATTTATTTTTTTCAATTTGAAATTTGAATTTAAAGTGAAAAGAGACTGGTTGGTTGCTCACTCCTATAAACTGTGTGTATTCTTCATCGTCTAAATGAATTGTGTGTGTGCGACGGCTGTTTTGCCGGGCGCCCGGGCGCCCAACTTGTGCCTGGGACACATGCCTGGATGCTGGGCCGGGCATGAACCCCGGGCAGGGTTCCAGGCAGCCGCAGGGCAAAAAAAAAAAAAAACAGTAATAATAAATTGTAGGACAAAAACTGTTGCCTAGAATACTAGAAGAAAGAAGAAGAATTGCAATACAAACGACTTTGGCTAAGGATCAAATCAAAGTTCCTCACGGATGGGAAAAAAGAACAAAAAAAAAAAAAAAACAGAATCAGACCCGTTTAACGCCCCTTGAAAACCAAGTTATACCCCCCTTCCCCTCCCTTGACAGAGAAGGCTCGAAAAGAGAAAGGAGTCGGGATTTGACTTCCTCTGGGCATGCAGTACAAACCCCCCGCCCCCGCCCCCACCCCCCAAGAAAGAAATAAAAGGGCTGATTTTTGCCTGCACGGGGTGCCCCAGGCAACTTGCATGGGGTGCCCCGGGGGACTTGGTGTGCAAGGCCAGGTTAGCTAAGTAGACTACTAATAGTCCTCGGGGTGCCTAAATGTCCAGTTCTCAAAAACTGACAAAAAGACACATGTAATTCTCAATTATGCCTATGGACCTCGCTCCAAGACTCACCAATCTTTTGAAAATGAGAACGAATCTTTCGCTAGAACATGGAAAGATTCACCGCCATAGTTCTTCTCTTTTCTGCGTGTGGCGAGTGTTCGAGTTAAGCCCTTCTTTTTGTGTGGATAGGCCCTTTTTTGTGTGGATAGGCCCTTTTTTTGGTGTGGAAAGGCCCTTTCTTTTGTGGAATGTCTAATTATATAGTCAAGTTATCGAAATTTGGCACAGGTTGAATGAATGATGTGATGATGTTTTGATAGGTGCAGTGCACACCAATGACCCCAACTTTCAATGACCATCCCTCATCAACACATCAAATCCGTAGATGATGACCGAGGAAAGAAGAGTTTTGAAGATTACGAACTTTACAAATTCTTGCTTCCCCCTCTCCAATTCCAGGCTCTTCCCTCCAATCGTTTTCCCTCGCTCTCACCAACACTTATCTTTCCAACCAACACACAACACTGCTTATGTCTTGCGCCACTCTCTCTCTCTCTCTCTCTCTCTCTCTCTCTCTCTCTCTCTCTCTCTCTCTCTCTCTCTCTCTCTCTCTCTCNCTCTCTCTCTCTCTCTCTCTCTCTCTCTCTCTCTCTCTCTCTCTCTCTCTCTCTCTCTCGCTCAGAGTAGGGCCTTCGTGCTATCATCCCGCAAGGGAGTTGAACTCTTGACCTGCTGCGGAAAACTGTATGGCTAGCCGATGGATGTCCAACACATCAAGCACAACCCTGTTGTGTCCGATGGATGTTCAACGCTTCGTACTGTTCCCCACGCTCATCATCTGCTTGGTCATGCAGTTCTCAAAAGGACAAAAAGGCTCTTTTCCTACAAACTTTGGCATCTACTTTCTATCCGCCGTTGATCCGCCTCTCACAACGATTAGATAGGGTCAGCACTTCCTCCTGCTTCATGCTCTCATCCTCTGCTTGGCTGTGAAGTTATGACAATGACACAAAGGCTCTTTCTCTACCAACTGCCCGGGCCTTCGGCAACCACTCTCTATTCGCCGTTGATCAGCATCAGCCTCCCACAACAGCTCGATAGAGTTATCTCGTGTTGGACTTACATGAAGAGGAAAAAGGAAACCCATCCGTCGAACTATCCTCAAACTACAGCACAGATCAGTGTGTTCCATGAGAATTTCGCTGGATTCCAGCGTTCGAACGTTCCGTTTGTTGATGAAACTTTTGTCACTTTCGACTACCTCCATCAGACGTAGAAACCATGATGAACAACTCCCCTCCCTTGGAGAACCTCAGTCGCAGTTGCTCAACCTTCC